ACCCTGCGAAATGCTTTAGAAATCATGGGTTAAGAAATTCATAGTCTCAGAATTTTAATAAAAAACCCAGAATGTCTATTCAAATCTTAGGATTTACATAGAAACATTAAGAATAATCGAGACTCTGGCCGAAAACTTAGGTTTTCTTAAGCATCGCCTAAGGTGTAGAAGATGCACTGCAGCGTTCATCGGGCAGGGCATCAGGTGCAGCTCGGCGGCGAGCCCGGGGGGGAAACGAGAAGGGGGGGCGGGCCATCTCAGAGTGCTCGGAATAATCCTCCGGCCTTCTGAGAGATTGTCTGAGCCTTCGCCGAAGACACGGCGAACTTCTCAGAACGCGCGAGGGCTTCTGAGAAGTCCCGCCGCCTTCTGAGAAGGTCTTCGCCTTCTCACTTCCCCCCTCGCCCGCCTCACCAGTAAAAGATGCAGCAGTAAAAGATGCAGCAGTAAAAGCCGCCGAATCAGCTGCAGCAGTAAAAGATGCAGCAGAAGGGCGACCATGGGTGGTCCCTACTTATCCTTCCTCTTCGTTCCCTCTCCGTCCGTGCTCATCCCCCCCGTCTCTCACACTCGCCTCCCATCTCTTCCCGACCTCCACGATCCCCTTCCGCCTTCCATAGACGTTCGACGCCTTATCCAGAACTGTGCTCATGGCAGAACTCTAGGAGTAGAAGAAGAGAAAACGCCATAAACACAAACTTTCAGCGCACCGCGTGGAATTCCTGGATCTGTGCCTGACCCCCCTCCCTGGCGCGCGGAGCACGCCAGGGGCGGCGCCAGAGGCGCCGACGGGGGGCCCAGCGCAGATCCAAGAAATCCGCGCGGAGCGCCAAAAGTTTATGTTCATGGGTCTGTTCTTCTACTCCTAGAGTGGCATGAGCACAGGTCTGGATAAGGCGTGGATCGTCTACGGAAGGCGGCGGGGGATGGGTATTTTCCTTCTTCGCGAAGGCATTTTTTCTTCGTCGAAGGGGCGCTGTCTCTCCTTCGAAGGCTTCTGTTTATGGCCTGTTTTTCTTCTTCTTCGAAGGAGGGAACGGAGCGGTGGCACGGCTCAACATCGGGCCTCTGCTGCACGCCACGCCCCAACGTTCTCTGTCGATGCCCCGCCCCCCCCTGGCGGCCAGAGCGGGGGGCAGCAGAAGGGGGCACTCGGTGGATCGGTCGCCAACGCCCGGCCACGGCCCCTCTCCCCTCCCCTGACACGCCTTGGATGCTCATTCTGGGGACCGTCCTGAAGCCACGCGCTCCACCCTTGCGTCGAAGTGGCGTCGAACGTCCGTCGACTCGAGTAGACACTGAGTCGAGCATGCGTCGAACCTGGGTCGAACCTGGTGTGGATCGAACGCCGGACGCCCGACAAGAGCCTCCCCTCCCTCCCCTGCCCGCCCCGTCTCTTCCTTCTCTGGCATTGCGCCCATCCTTCGGTGGCAACTCGTGGGAACCTCCCATGCCATCTTGTCGGCCCCTGCGAATCGACGCTGATCGACGCTAACCGACGCTAAGTCGGCGCTATCTCATCGACTCCCAGACGCTAATCAACACTAATCGACGCTGAAGACGGAACGAAGAGGGCTGAAAACAGGCTCCTCACTCCTCCTCCCGCCGCCCTCCTCCTCCTCCTCCTCCTCCTCCTCCTCCTCCTCCTCCTCCCTCCTCCTCCTCCTCCCTCCCCCTCCTCTCCCCTCCCTCCCTCCTCCTCCTTCTCCGTCCTCCTCCTCCTCCTCCTCCCTCCCTCCTCCCCTCAGCCTCTCCTCTTTCCTCTTACTACCTACTCGTCCTCCTCCTCCCTCCTTCTCCAAACTCCTCATCCTCCTCTTCCTCTCCTCCTCCCTCTCCTCCTTCCTCCTCCCTCCTCCTACCTGCTCGTCCCTCCTCCTCCCTCCTCCTCCAAACTCCTCCACCCTCCTCTCCCTCACCCCCCCCTTCCGCGAGCCCAGGGAGCCCGGTGCTGCCAGAGGTGGCTGACCCCTTCGCAGCGGCACTGGCGGCCCCGTGCCCAGGCGTGGCCCACTGGCGGTGCCTGGAGCGCAGCTCCGTGGCTGGCGCTGCTCGGGGCCCAGGTCGGGCATGTCCCCCTTCCTGAAGGGGCCCCAGGGCACACAAATAAATACACACGAATACAACAAATCCCCTATATTTTCCTATAGTTTCTCGGTTTTTGTCTTCCCCCCCAACTTCCCATACTTTCCCATATTTTCCGGGGAATCGACGATTAATTGTGTCTGTGTGTTTCTTTCCCTCCTGACTTCCTACAGGCTCACGTTGGAGGAAAAAGACGAAAAATAGCCACGACATGCTCAACAGAAGTCACCAAAGATTCAAAAAGTCGTCCGCAGACTATTTTTTAAACTATTTTTGAATACTCCTCCTGTAGCACCGGCACCTGACCTCGCGGCTTTGCCCGACTTAACTCTGGGCACCTGACCTCGCCGCTTTGCACAGTACGGCACAGAACCCATACCTCCTGGCGTCATGGCACAAAATTATCCCGGCAAAGCAACCCAACAGCGATGTGTAGGAGCATATCTGGAAGCATTCCCCTTAAGATTCAGATGGGAATCCAGTTGTAGAATTCTGCTGTTCTCGCAGTCGTAGTCGCATTCGCGATGACAGTCGCAGTGGCAACGGCAGTCGCAGTCACAGCCTCAGCCTCAGCCTGCCTCAGCCTCAGCCTCAGCCTGCCTCAGCCTCAGCCTGCCTCAGCCTCAGCCTCAGCCTGCTTCAGCCTCAGCCTCAGTCTGCCTTCAGCTCGGCCTCAGCCTCAGCCTGCCTCAGCCTCAGCCTGCATCAGCCTCAGCCTCAGCCTCAGCCTGCCTCAGCATCAGCCTGCCTCAGCCTCAGCCTCAGCCTGCCTCAGCCTCAGCCTCAGCCTGCTTCAGCCTCAGCCTCAGTCTGCCTTCAGCCTCGGCCTCAGCCTCAGCCTGCCTCAGCTCAGCCTGCCTCAGCCTCAGCATCAGCCTGCCTCAGCATTCAAAATGTGGCCCGGGAATGGAGTTCTGGGAACTCGAAGAACACGAAGTGGCCTACAGTTGGCTCCGGGCATTCAAAATCATGCCCAGGAATGGAGTTCTGGGAACTCGAAGACCACGAAGTGGCCTACAGTTGGCTCCGGGCATCCAAAATGTGGCCCGGGAATGGAGTTCTGGGAACTCGAAGAGCACGAAGTGGCCTACAGTTGGCTCCGGGCATCCAAAATGTGGCCCGGGAATGGAGTTCTGGGAAGTCGAAGAGCACGAAGTGGCCTACAGTTGGCTCCGGGCATTCAAAATGTGGCCCGGGAATGGAGTTCTGGGAGCGCCAAGAGCGATTTTGCGAGGATGTCCCAAGCGATTTCGGCTTCGGCGGCAGCCGCCCCGGGTCCCGCCCCGACCCCCCTGAGGAGTCATGATGCTCTCTTTTGACACCACTAGAAACCTATCAGTCTTCGCTGTCAGGTAATCACGACGGGAGGTTTTTCCCTACTTTGGGGCCTCTGGGGTACCTTACCGCCTTACCGGGCCTCGGGATCGTCACATAACGGCTCAGGATGAAAAACCGGTCCCGGGCACTGGGTCGAGACCTCTGGGGTTCGACGTTATGAGAAAATCAAGACGCCGGAAGTCTGGGAACCATGCGCCAGCACAATCATGCGCCAACCCCTGGCACGGAACTCCTGGTGGGCAACGATAGGGGGGGACTGGCTGCCATGGGGGGGGATGTATCGACCTGGAATCGGCGGTACATCGCCGCTACATCGGCGATAGGCCCCCGATAGTGAAGCCGCACCTCCGTGCAGGTTGGGGCCGTCGGGCCCCTGTCGGCGATCAGTGGGCGATTCGGGGTCCATGCCTTCTCCCCTCTGCCTCCCCCCCCCCCTTATCGTTGCCCCGGGACTCCTGGGGGGCTCGTTCCAGGCCGTGCTCCGAACCACCCTGCGCCGGGTCGGGCCGCCCCGAGCCGCCAAAGGTAGGGAGCCCACAAAGGACGTACGCGCCCAGCTATGTACATGAACATGGCCCCTGGATCCGCGAGACTGGCCGCCTGATACGAACATTTGTGCGATGCGCACTCTCGAAACCAGCGTGGATTCATGTACATGCACGTCCTTCTTTCGCTCCTGGAAAGTTACATCCGCCACGCTCCCATCGCGTCCTGCTCGGCGGCGCGCCCGGGGTGGGGAGGTGGGAGGGGGCGGGCTTGCTCAGAAGGGGGCGGTGCCTCGCAGCAAGCCGCGCGCCGTGCCCCGCCTCCCTCCGCGCTCCCGCCCGCCTGCTATCTTGCAGGAGAGCCCATAATCGAATCGAAAAGTCGGATCGGCGGAAATCGGCAGGCTACTATGCGTCCCATAAGAAGTCGGAATCCAAATCGGAATCCCAAGTCGAATCGAATCGGAATCGGAAGCCATCGAAATCGAATCGAGTCGAATCGGAGGAGTCGAAATGAGCCCTGATCTTGTTTGCGTTTTGGCCGGCGCTGGCCGGATGACGACCGCTGCGTCAGCACGCGGGTCCTGGACAGAAAGGGAAGCACCCGCGCGGGCACGCAGTGATCACGCAAGCCGCGCGTGCGCAGGGCGGCGGAGTGGACAAGGCCGCAAGGGCCACGACAAGCGAACAACGGCCGCCCTCCTCCTCCTCCTCCTCCTCCTCCTCCTCCTCCTCCTCCGCCTCTCCCTCCTCCTTCCCGACCCGATCCATCCCCCATTTCATCCGGCGCTGCCCCCCCCCCTCCTCTCCCTGATTTGAGCAGGGACCGACCGTCCCGGCATTCCTGTAAGCCTACCACGACATGTTCTCAGAACCCGAAAATGCTCTCATAACAAAAGCAGCGTTCTTAGAACCTAAGCCGATGTACTCAAACAAGACAGTCCGAGCCAGAAATGTTCCAAGAACATTTCGTGCATACCACAGAAAAATATTAGGACATTGTTTGGGGGGCCTCTATAAGCAAGCCGGGACGCCTCGCCACTGATTGACTCATCCCTCTTTCCCCCCTCCTCCCACCCACCCCCTGCACTCCTCCGCCAGGGACTCCGCCCCACGAGCGGCACCCGCGTCCGTCTCCATGCGGGGGCCTCTGCACCCCGCGACGGCGGACTGGGTCATGGGCTGGTCGGCGGCGAGCCCGGCCAGGGCACCGCAGGCCCACCGCTGCACCTGGGGGGGGGGCCGTGGGGGCTCCCGCGCGGGCGCCGGGGCGAAGCTCTCCCCCGCGCGCACGCCACACGTCCCCGCCCCCGCGCCATGTCCTCTCCGCCCTCCCCATCATACCACGGATTTCCTCCCCCCCCCTTCTCGCCCCCTGTCCCCCCAATCTCTCGCGCTGCATCATCCTTGCCCTCTCCTCCTCATCCGTCCACCGGCTTTTCGTCGTCGTCGTCGTCCTCCTCCTCCTCCTCCTCCTACTCATCATCTCATCCTTCTCGGCCCCCTCCTCCATCCTGCGCTCTCACCTCCCTATACCCCTCCCGCTCTTATTCGATTCGTCCTCCAGAATTCTCTCCTCCCCCCTCCTCCTCATCCCAAAGCTTTCTGGGTCGTACCAAAAAACGTGCCCAACAATTTCAACTCATGCCAACTATTGCTGGAATACATATGACCTCATGACCGCGGTCGCTTGAAACCGTTACTTGATACTTCCGTGAGAGAGCGCATCGGGCATTGTTACGACTGCATATAGGATTGGCTCGCGCGCAAAGTTTTCCTTACGAACCAGGATGCCAATCACATACAGCTCACCGACCGCGGGCGATAATAATACCGGGGGGATAATAAAGTTCGGGGGTCTGGCGGGGATGATAAAGGATTTCCCAGGGAAGGTTAATTCATGATGATGACGGTGATCATGATGATGGTGATCCTGGGCGCTCGGCACAAGACTGACTCGCGAGATCTCGATGCTCGTGGCTATACAACTTGTGCGAATCCGACAGCCCTGCCACACCCTCGTGATTGCGGAAAATGATGTGAGACCACCATGGCCATGCTCAGCTTTTTTATGCTGTCGCTAGACATCAGGAAATCAAATTAGCAACTTGAAATCGCAACTTCCCCCGTGAAATATAAAGTTCGGCCTCCGCGCCCTTCTCCACAATTGAACCCTGTTGAACGGGGATAATAAACATAGAGGGCCTTGAGGGGGGGTAGTTTATTATCGCCCGTGGTGGGTTATTCTTCCCAACCAGTCAGAAGTCACAAGGCGCCCTACCTGCAACGAGTACGCCTGCGATCCCACTAACAAACAACATATGCAGACCCTGCCGGCAAAAGTGAGGGGGAGTCCTGGGTTGGTCGTCTGGCGATAATCCTGAGAGACGCTGTTCCATGCGAGGCTGTCCCCCCCCCTTCCTCGCAGGTCCCCTCGCGAACTCCAAGCTTGCCAACACAAGATGAATCGACTCAGGTCGTAATCGAGTTGACGGGAAGCCCCTTCCCTTTGACCCCTTCCCCGCCATCGAGGGGGGGAAGGGGGACGCACCCGACTCACCCTCCTTGGAATGACTCGGACGATCTTGGGCCAGTCTGGCCATCTGGGCCGCCAAGGCTTTCTCCAGAGCCCTCTCGGGGCCACCTTAGCCAACTTCGGCATTCTCGGAAGCCTCCTGGACCGTCTTAGAGGCCCTGGAGGCCAACCCGAGAGGACAAGATGGGGCCCGAGACCCCCCATGACGACCCAAAGAGAGGCCCCCAAAGCGTCGCCATCCCTCGGACGTCCACTCCCCGTGCATTCTTCGACTTCGTCCGTGTATTTGTCCAATCTGCCACTCGCTGGCCCTCGCCGCGAAAAAACATGCACACGCCCGAGCGATGCCAAGAAGCGCGGGTAATCAATGAATAACAGATTCGGCCCCTCGAAAGGGCGCTTGAACACACATCCGAGGTGCTGCTTCCATGGATTTGGACGCCCGAAATTGGTACGGAAACAATGGGTACAATACACAACAACAAATGTTGTCCCAAACCAACAGCCGCCGCTGTTGGGCAGGCGGCCTTCTGTCTCGAATGGACACGGGCCGCGGCGGCGTGGACAGCGAATCCGGTTCAAAATGAACAGGAACTGCTGTTGGGCATGGTGCCCACTCTTTCCGTGCCCAGTTCGGGCGTCCCGAATGGAAGCATGTCTCCACCAGCAAGCGGATCTCCGGGGGCGCTTGCACAACCAACCGAAACCCCCCCGCCCCCAGAAGAGCCCACGCTGGCCTCCGCGTCGAGCGGGAACTGCCTCATGGCGCCTCCGAGCGGGGTTGAGTGGCGGGGGAGGGGAACTAGAGGCAGAGGGAGAGAACGAGAGAGAGGGAGCGAGACAGAGAGAGAGAGAGATGGAGAGAAAGAGAGAGAGAGAGAAACAAAAAAACGAAGAGAGAGAGAGAGAGAGACAGAGCGAGAGAGAGGGAAGAGATGGATAGAGAGAGAGGGAGAGAGAAAGAGAGAGAGAGAGAGACACAGAGAGAGAGAGAGCGAGACCAACACGCGTTCAAATATGTTCTCGTCGGCCACTCCCATCGGGCGGCCTGCCCCTCGCTGGAAAGCGAGAGAGAGAGGGGAGATGAAGAGACGTAGACAGAGAGGGGACGGGGAGGAAGAGGGAGACCCCAGTCAGAGAGAAAGGAAGACAGGGCACATATAAAACTCAGAGATACAGAGAAACAAAACAGTTCACATCGGCACAAGAAAACCAGTATGCGCAATGGAAAAGTATGGCATGAGTTGGCCTGCGGAAAAGGTTGCGCCGTCTGTCGCGCCAATTGCCCCGCGCTACGGATTCTTGAGTTGGTCACCAATGTCCCCCAGGTTCACAGGTTGTGCCATAGGTTGGGTCAAAAAAGGACTAGACACTCTCACCACGGAATAATAACATGGTCCACTTCGTTCCCCCACCAATGACTCGTGAAACAAAAAAACAATTCACACGTTCGCTGCACATATAGAACCTGGGACAACTGAGAGAGGGAGAGAGAGAGAGAGGGGGGGAAAAAAAAGGAAAGGACGATAATGAGAGAGAGAGAGAGAGACAGAGAGCGGCAACGACGACGAAAGAGATAGAGAGAGAGAGAGAGAGATGGAGAGAAGGGGAGGCAGAGAGAGAGGAGGTGGTGGTTGAGAGAGTAGGAGCACAGGACCACGGCGAGAAGCGCAACCCTCTCGGACGGCGGGGGGGGGGCTCGGAGCACGGAGCGTCGAGCGAGGCAGCACCAGCTCGGGAGAGGGAGCTGGATCGGGTGCCGGGGCCAGGGACCTCCTCCTCCTCCTCCTCCTCCTCCTCCATCCTCCCCCTCCCCTCCTCCCCCCATCCCCCCTCCCCCTCCCCCTCCCCCTCCTCCCCCTCCCCTCCCCCCTCCCCCTCCTCTTCCTCCTCCCTCCCTCCTTCTCTCCCCCCCACTCCTCCTCCTCTCACCTCCTCCTCCCTCCTCCTCCTCCATCTCCCCCCTCCCCCCTCCTCCTCCTCGTCCTCCTCCTCTCCATCTCCCCCCTCCCTCCTCCTGCATCTCCCCTCTCCCCCCCTCCTCCTCCTCCTCTCCTCTCCTCTCCTCCTCCTCCTCCCCCTCCTCCTTCTCCATCTCCCCTCTCCCCTCCTCCCCCTCTCCCCTCTCCCCCCTCCTCCTCCTCCTCCTCCTCCTCCTCCGCCTCCTCCTCCTCCTCTCTCCTCCTCTCCTCCTCCTCTCTCCTCCTCCTCCTCCTCCTCCTCCTCCTCCTCCTCCCTCCTCCTCTCCTCCTCTCCTCCTCATCCCTCCTCCTTCCTCCTCCTCCTCCTCCTCCTCCTCCCTCCTCCTCCTCCTCCTCCTCCTCCTCCTCCTCCTCCTCCTCCTCCTCCTCCTCCCCCCTGCCAAGGCTGCACACCTCCCTGCAGGCAGCGGGGGCGGGGGGGGGGGCCGCGCCCGCGCCCGCGCCCCCGATGTGAGAGGCCAGGTGGAAACCTCGCGCTCCTGACGTTTCTGGCTGCCCCCTGGGCAAAACTGCAGGCAGCCCTGCAGGAGGTCGCGCCCAGGCTGCTGAACACACTCCAGAGCCACAACGTTAGGTCGGACGCGTCCTCCTATGGGCGGATGCTGGACGAAAAATAGATAACAGTCGAATCATCACCAAACATATAAAACAACAGTCAAACAGTCGTCCCCATATTCTGTTTGACTATTTTGTAACATTCCTCCTGTGGAGGGACATGCCCGACTTGACCCTAATGGCCCGCGTCGGGAACATCCCAAGGCAGGACATCACGCGCTGGCACACGGCCACCGTCGACGTCAGAGATTTTTATCTCGGGGGTAGCGCCGAGGCCACCACAGAAGAGGTGGTCAGCTTGTGGCTAGACCACGCCCCAATGCGCACGACGCTCCGGAGAGCAAACTCGTGGACGACCCGTGGGAGCTTCCGGGTAACGTTACGTCTCGGGTCACCGAGGGTTCGGGCACGGGCCTCCCTCGCAGTGGGGAGGTGCCAAGCTGTGCGCTGGTCGTTTCTGTAGAACTGCCCATGAGAAACAATCTCGGTCCAGCCGGCGTCAGAGGCTGCCTCAGGTTCCGCGACATCCTGATGCTGAGTGCAAGCAAGATGCCTGCAGCAAAACAGCTTTTCACTAGGATGCAGCAGCTGGAGTCCGCCTACCTTGTGAAGATCGAGTTGGGGTAGTGGAACACATAATTCCTGGAGCTTGAGATTTCAAAGTCGGTTGTCCACTTCTCGGTCTCACATCTTCTCAAACCCACCTCACTCCCTCCCCCCGTGGCCTCTTCCGGTGCGCATCCACGCCACGTGCACAGCTCGTGGCCACAGCCTATGCCTCTGGAGTAAGACAGATTTGAAGTACACGCGACCTACGACTCTCTCTTCCGCGGCGAGCGAAGGGGGGAACTGAGAAGGGGAAAACCTTCTCAGATGGCGGCGGGGCTGCTGAAACACCCTCAGCCCTTCTGAGAAGTTGTCCGTGTCTTCGGGGAAGACTTAGAAACTTCAGAAAACTTGGTGATCTCCGAGCCTTCTGAGAACACCTTCTTCTTCTCACTTCCCCCCTCGCTTGCCGCCGATCTATATCACGAGTCGTCGATAGGTTCCGTCGGCCAAAACGCACGGAACATCCCAGGGTACTTTCCCCAGGGTGCGCAAGAACATCCAACACGAAGAACACTAGGACACCCTCCCAGAACCGACCTCGATCTTATACCTCGGTCCGACTGCAACAGTCGTCGATGGGCTCCGCGCTAACTTTGCCAGCGAACACGCAGCAAGTGTTAGGTCGGGCATGTCCCCCTACAGGCAATTGTTGGACGACAGAACAATACGGCAAACAATGCACAAACATAGTCCGACAAAACTAGAAAAATCGTCCCCAGACTATATTTGACTATTTTTGAACATGCCTCCTGTAGAAGGACATGCCCGATTTAAAGCAAAAAGGTTTCGGCAGGCGGCGAGACGTCACGACAACGGCCTGGGCCGCCCGGCGCCGTCACGAGAGAAGCGAACGTTACGTTTGTGTTCCTGGTTCGACGCAGGCTGCCGTCCTGCGGCAGGTTCGTGTCGTGCCGACGTCGGAGTTGGCTTGCAACCGTGGGAATCCTTCACCCTTGAACGGTCGGACGTGTACGGAACGTCAGATATCGCCAAACATCGACCAGTCCTGGGTCGCCGGAGAGGCGTTCAGCCTCGAACGCCAGCGGCGGGGTAGCCGCCGGTTTCCTGGTTAGTTGTAGGCGGCGACCAGACCGAATCCAGAAAAACATCCCTCAAGAAAATGAGAGAACCTCCGCCGGCCAGCACACACACAGAGCATCCAATAAACACGAAGAACGAGCACTAGGGTACCTTCCCTGGACCGACCTCGATCTTGTATCGCGGTCCGACTGTGCCATCCTACGATGGCGCAGGAGATCTGCAGAGAGATCTCGGCCCTTAGTTTGCACGACTCTTGGACGCTGGCGTGAGAATGCTTAGTTCGTTCGCGATTGGGGTCAACGTCCCAAGCCACAGGTCCGAGCTGGTGCACCTGGGGCTCTTCACGTCTACGACGGCTGCAAGACATCCTGCATACAAAGGTGTAAGAAGGTAGGGGTAGATGGAGGATTGCTGTTGCTACAGGGGCCCTAGGGACACACTGATAAATAGACACACATCCTAAGACTCTCCATATGGTCCATATTTGTAGAGATTTACCTAGCCCCCTTCTTGCTATATGTTCCCGTGCTTACAGATAGTCGAAAATTATGTGTGCCTGTGTGTCTTGTTCCCTACTGCATTGCTGCTTATATTCAGCACCAGCGACCCACAGCCGATTTTGACGCAGAGCCGAGCAGATCTTACAGCAAGCTTGTGGCCTGCAGCTGCCACGAGCGTCACACGGTGAAAGCAAGTCTTGACGAACTCGTCCTGCCACATTCAATGGGGGTTGAGAAGGCAAGAGCGTCCACAACCTAGGACCTATTAGCACCCTTCAAGGAAATGAGCCCCTTAGCCAGCCACACTGAAGAACATTCGAGGGTGCCTTTTCCCCAGGATGCACAAGAACATCGAACAGACATGAAGAACATGAGTCGGCTACACGCAAGAGTGACCCTGGGTAAGAGTGACCTTTGGTGCGCGACTTGTTTGGGGCCGCGGGGGGACCAAACCTGGGCGCGCAAGCAGCTGATGCTGCTTCGTTTTCAGCCATCTGGGGACCCATCTGTGCCCGCACCAAAGGTCACTCCGGCGAAAGGTCACTCTTACGTCTAGTCGAATTAGGATACCCTCCCCGAACCGACCTAAATCTTATACCTCGGTCCGACTGCAGGCAACCTCCCGGACGGCGGGGGGCGTTCCGAGCACAGGGCAGCGAGTGAGCGCCGCAGGTTCGGGAGCAGAAGCTCTCGATTGAGTGCAGGGGCGCCTGACAGTTCGTTCTGTCCCCCTCCATGCTGCGAGCGTGCTTGCCGCATAGCACATACAGCCTACAAGACACACACACACACGTTGTCCGTCGGCGGCGAGGCAGAATGGCTGCACAAGCGACAGAGCTGAACACACACACACACACACACACACACGCACACTCACAGACACAGACACACACACACACACACACGCGCACACAAACACACACACGCACACACACTCACACACATAAACACACACGCACACACACACACACACACGCACGCACGCACGCACGCACGCACGCACGCACGCACGCACCCACGCACACACACACACACACACACACACACACACACACACACGCGCGCGCACACCCACACGTGCGCCCGAGGGCTGGGACGGGGAAAGCGCAAGGACGACCCGACTGGCGGGCCCGGGATGTTGAACCGTGGGCCAGCCTGGGCTGGACAAGGAAACGCCAGCCCCCGGGGTCATCCGCGAGCGCGGCCCTCACCAGCCCAGGGGGGGGGTCTGGCGCGACGAAGGGGGCAGAGGCGCCGTTTGTCGCCATCACCGCGCTCGTATGGTGGACTGCTGGAGTGTAGTGTACTGAGTCCGGGGGGTGAAGAATTGAGCAGGGACCGACCGTCCCAGCTATAATCCTGCCACAAAATATTCATAGAACCCAAACATGTTCTGATAACATAAACAATGTTCTCAGAAAGAAGACCCTACGTGCTATAACAAGACGGTCTCAGCCAGAAACGAACAAACAAACATTTTGTGCAGATCAAGTTCTCAGAACATGACTTGGTGGGCCTAGAGGCGAGCCGGGACGCTTCTCCACTGCTGGGCAGAGGGCACTCTCCAGCGTGCCCTCCCCTCAACGCGGGATTCTCCAGAGAGAGAGAGAGAGAGGCGACCTCTCTGCCACCAGACGCCCACACCGCCAGCAGTGCCTCCTGGCCTGGATCTCTGCCCCCCCCCCCCTGCGCTGGCGACGTCGCGCGGAGAGCCTCCTCCTCCTCCTCCTCCTCTTCCTCCTCGCCCTCCTCATCCTGCTCACCCTCCTCGCCCTTCTCGTGGACGGCGAGCCCAGGAGGCGCAGCCGCCCAGGCGGGGCCATCCTCCTCAAGGGATTGACTGCCGGGGAAGCGGCCGCCGCACGGACGGCGTCGGAGAGGACGGGTCGGGAGTACGCTATTTCGGGAAGCACAAGAAACAGGGGGAGAAAAACGCGCACCTTTCGTGCACCTTGTGAGCCCGTGGTGACAGAATATGCCCTTGAGGGCAACCGTCTTGCAGCCCTCGATGCCCCCACTTTCTTAGCAGGGACCGACCGTCCCGGCATGTCTATAGGCCTGCCACGAAATAATCTTCCTCGATCCCAAACAAGTTCTGGGAGCAAAACTATGTTCTTAGAAACCAAGCCCGATGTGTTGAAACCAGACAGTCTCGGCCAGAACTGGTCTAAGAACACTCCGTGCAGACCAGAGACGGTTCTTAGAACATTCCTTGGTGGGCCTATCGGCAAACCAGGACGCTTCGCCACTGCTCGACCCGCTGCCGTCCGCCCGGAGGGGCCACAGGGAAGAGGCAGCGGCCCGCCTACGACCTGGTCGATGGCGCCGTTCGTGGCCGCGAGGGCCTCCGGCAGCACTCCCAATCCTCCCGTGCCTGCCCGTCCTAGATTTAGGTCGGGCACGCCCCCCTACAGGGAGATTTACACTCAAAAATAATCCAGACATCGCCCCCCATACAGGGAGATTCATACCCAAAAGCAATCCAGGACATCGTCCCCCGACTGTGTTTTGACTATCTGTGAATACTCCTCCTGTGGAAGGGCATGCCCGACTGAATCCTCGATGCCTCCCGCGAAGGGTCGCAGCGGATGGGGTCGGAGGATCGCGCCGCGTCGCCAGTGCATCACCGAGGCATCGGCGACGTAGAGCGAGAGTCCTCCCCACCTCCAGAGCCATCGCCTGCTGCTGCTGCTGCTGCTGCTGCTGCTGCTGCTGTTGCTGGCGGAAAGGGGAGGGCCGCGGCGGCGAGGGAGGCGCAGCTGGCCGCCGAGAATGAAGGGGCCCTGGGACACACACATAAATACACACAGATAACAAGATTCCCCATATTTTCCTATATTTTCTGGGTTTTTGTCTTCCCCACCACTTCCCATATTTTCCCATACTTTCTGGGGAGTCGACGATTAACTGTGTCTGTGTGTTTCTTCCCCTCCTGAGAGAAGGCGGCGTCGGAGGCTTCGCAGGGCGGTGAGGGCATCGGCGACGTCGGCATGGAGACGGTCGGGCTCCACAGCGGGCCGCACCGCCGAGGCAACCGCCGAGAGAGGGGGCGCGGTCGCCCGACCTGCAGCTGCTCGGGCAGCGTTTACTCGCCATCGCTCGGGCGTCCCCTCCCTGTGCTTTTTGTTTCGGTCTCGTGCGTGGTTCTTCTTCGCCAAATGATCAGGGATGCTCCTCGATGGCCCTCGCCGAAGGAAAAATGCACACGTCCGAGCGATGCCAAGAGTTTAGGAGGCCCAGACTTCCCCTCGCGCCCCCACGCCCCCCACTTCACCAGGGCGCCCAGCTTCGCGCCACCGCGCCGCGCGACGCGCGAATACCTGCGCGCTCTCGCGACACGCCCCCGAGGGGAGACGAGGAGGATGAGGATGCATCCGGGCCGAAGCGCTGAGCGCGAGGCGCGAAGAACTTCGCGCACCGGGAAGGCGCTCTTGATATTGGAGGGCAGGAGGAGCACGAAGCCCCCTCGCGAATGCGCAGAGAAAAGGGCTCGAACGGGGCAGAACTGTTCTGCAGATGACGAAGCAACAACACACACCCATACCCATAGGGGTGTCGGAAAGGGCTATGGCTATGGGTGCGTGTTGTCGGATGGGGGTCCCCGCTCGAACGGGAGCGTTCCCTAGGGTCCGACAACCCGCACCCATACCCATAGCCAGTCCTCCTCCCAACGACCCCCTTTATGGGTATGGGTGTGTGTTGTTCGCTCGTCATGCAGACGCTCAGGATCGATCGGCAAGCCCATCCGGCACCCGTGCGGCAGGGGATCTGGAACAGCCTTGTGCCCATGCACGGTGGGGGGGTGGGCAGGATTGGCCGCCCTGCTTCGGGGACTGGACTGGGCTTCCTCGCCGGACTTAGAACAAAGCTAAATCGATCCCTCGGGGATCTTCTGACCCGGGTCAATCCAGACCCGGGTCAGCAGGAAACCAAACACTGCGATGCAGGAAAAAAAACTGCAACACAAATCTTCGCAAACCCAGATCAACCAATACGCGCCGCCGCCTCGCGGCCACGAGCGGCTCGCTAACCCGGTTCAGCCAGAGGGGGTCTTCGCAGGATCCTGCAGGATCTGGCGCCCTGGCTGACCCCCGTTTGCATTAACCCCCGTCTCAAGGCTCCCACGATCCGAGCGTGCGTTCACGCCGGTCGGAAGAACGAGGTAGAAGCATGGAGCAGGACGGCGGATGAAGTAGATTGGGTTCAGGCCCTCCCAGAGAGTCACAGAACGCGGCAAAAACAGACCGACTCTTGAGGTAGGAGGGCGCTTGAAGCAAACGAGTTGGAGATGGAGATGGGGATCTAGAAATGCCTACTTTCATCAAACGACGTGTAAGCAACTGCCCGCCGAGACCTTTCCCCGTGTCACGCAGGGATCACATCCGACCCCAGCAGCAGGCAGAAGGCAATAATCCGCCCGGCGCGACCCCCGACCGAACGCGCCATGGGGGAGCGGAGGGCTCCAAAACGGGCCAAGAAGGCATCAAAACGCTCCCCAGACGGTCCCAGAAGCCCAGAGTCGCCGAAATATCGCTCCTTGACGCCCACGATGGCCCCCAGACGGCATCCGAAGCTGCCAAGACGCCCCAAAAGGCCCCCAAGATGCGTCCCAAGAGGGTCCCAAGGAACAAACAACGTCCCATCCCCTTTGAACAAAAAACAGCATGTTTCGCATACTCGCCTTTTCGGCTTTCGCAGCATCCAAGACGCGCAAAGAGACCTTCAATTTCGCCCCTGGACGGCCGAAAGGGCCGCGAAGAGGGGTCGAAGAGGGTCCAAGAACAGCCCACAAAGCCCCCAAGACAGCCCAAGAGGGCCACCAGACGGCTCACAGAGGTAGTCCAGAGGGCACCTTTTCGAGCCTTCGGCCCCAAGACGCCCCCAGCCTGCCCCAAGAACACCCTAAGAGGCCCTCAGGACCCCCAAGAGAACCCCAAAGGCCTCCAAGAAGCCCCCAGGACGCCCCCAAGAGGCTACAAGACTTGGCCCAAGATGCCTGGGGGCGGCCAGATATGGCCTGCAGACAGGCCAAGGTGCCACCGAAAGGCCACAAAAGAGCACCAACAGGTACGTATGATAACAGCAACGAAGCAACAGGAACGATGTCGAGCGCCCCGTCATGATTCGGACAAGCGTCGTGAAATGCAGTCCTGGAGGCGCAGTAGTTTATATAGGGGTCGGCAGATGCGGGGTAAGCCTATATAATCATTAAACCAACATCTTCAATGGCAACTCGTGGAAGCCTGTCATACCATCTTGTCGGCTCTTGCGAATCGACGCTGAATCGACGCTAAGTCGACGCTAAGTCGACGCTAATCGACACTAACCGACGCTAAATCGGCGCTATCTCATCGACTCCCAGATGCTAATCGACACTAGCCGACGCTAGACGGAATCAAAAGGAGTTGCCAGGCTCCCATGATTTGCTACCGAACTTTCCCCGTGTCACGCAGGGAGCATGTCCGGCCCCTGCAGCAGGTAGAGAGCAAGGATCATCAAATCAACATGTTTAGATGCTCGTTCTGGGGGTCTTCTAGGAGCCACTCGCTCTTCTCGTGCGTCTAAGCTGCGTCGAACGTCCGTCGACCCACGTCGAACCTGAGTCGAACGTAAGTCGAACCTGAGTCGAACCTGCGTCGAACCTGAATCGAACCTGAGTCGAACCTGAGTCGAACTTGAGTCGAACTTGAGTCGAACAGATCCAGTAGGTGGGCCCCAGAAAAGGTCCCCAAGACGAGCATCGAAACATCCCACCCCAATTTACCCCCCCCGCCCCCTCCAACTCCAATACTCCTGCTTTGCCTCCCCGCTTTCTCCCTTCGCGGTCGTCCAAGAGCACCTCTTCCCTCCAGATCCGAGGAGATACAAGTAGCGATCCTTCGAAGAAACAACTGCATGCACTGAGCCAAGCTTGCAGCTTGAGACTTCCAGATAATGGTCAGCGCCACCTCCTAGAGATCCGATGTGTTTTTTTTCCATACGGGGTCCCCAGACGGGTCGACCCATTCCACAGGACCGGTTGTTCATCCTGAATCGTGTTTTAGCGGTCACGGGGCCTGGTGAGGGCCCCTCGAGGCCGAAAATCGAGAAAAACGTCCGTCTTTTTTCCTCCTATGATGACTCGCTCCTCTGATAAAATTTCTGGGATTGGATCTCTGGGTTTTCCTCCTCTGATGACTCGCTCCGCTGCCACCCTCCCGCGACACTGGCGGCCTCGCTCGGCTGCCGCCCTCCCCCGCCCGGCGCCGCCTGCAGCTCCGGCCGCCCCCCCGCGCAGCCCGCCAGCGCGTGGCACGCCGCCTCCTGCAGCCGCGGCGCCCCGGCGTGCCTCGCCGCCGCGGCGGCAAGGCGGCGAGGAGGGGGAGGGGGAGGGGGAGGGGGAGGGGGAGGGGGAGGAGAAGAAAGAGGAGGAGGAGGAGGAGGAGGAGAGGAGGAGGAGGAATTCGCTGATATCCACGGGTACCGAGGGAGGAGGAGAGGGAGGAGGAGGAGGAGGAGGAGGAGGAGAGAAGAGGAGGAGGAGGAGGAGAAGAGGAGGAGGAGAGGAGGCGGAGGAGGAGGAGGAGGAGGGAGAGGGGAGGAGGAGGAGGAAGGAGGAGGAGGGAGGAGGGGAGGGGAGGAGCAGAGAGGAGAGAAGGAGAAGGAGGAGGGGAGAAGGAGGAGGTGGAGGAGGAGGAGGAGGAGGAGGGGAGGGAAACGCCTGGGGCCCACCGCTGCGGCCTCCATCCCCTTCGGAAGAGGTGCCGGTATCGCTACCCTTGCCCTGTTCTTCCCTCTGTGGGCCTCCTGGGAGGCCCTCGTCACCGCTGGAGTCGCCTCGAGATCCTGGTCAGAACGCGCCACAGAGGTCAGGGGAGTAACGGTATCAGTGAAACTTGTGGAGGAAGAGCAACACCATAAACACAAACTGTTGGCGCCCCGCGCGGACTTCTCGGATTTGCGCTGGGACCCCTATCCCGCACCGGAACCGCCGCCAGGGGGGGCCCAGTGCGGATCCAAGCAACCTGCGCGGAGCGCCAAACAAAAATATGCTTATGGCGTTTTTGATCTTCTTCTACTCCTAGGGTTCTGGCGTGAGCGCACGTCTGGATACGGCGTCGATCGTCTATGCAAGGGGGCAGGGGGTGGCTTTTTCTGCTTCGCGAGGGCGTTTTTTTCTGTGTCGAAGGAGGCGCTTTCTCTCCTTCGAAAATCATGCTTGTGGCGTTTGTGTTCCTTCTTTGATCCGCCCCCTCGTCAGCTGCGGGGCGCCGTGGCCCCCGCGGGCCTCGGCCCGCGTATGGGGCCCTCCGCTGGCCCCCGCGGCAGGGCCCCGGCGCTGCCAGCGCGAGCCGCCCAAGCCACGCCACTCCGGTGAGCACAGCGCCACGAGGGCGGGGCGCCCCCGCTCCCGGCAGTTACGCGTGGGGGGGGGCAGGCCTTCCCCCCCAGCATCATCATCATCATCATCATCATCATCATCATCATCATCATCATCATCATCATCAGCATCATCATCAT